CCATTTCATGCCATACACAAATGTGAAAAAATGCTTTCCTTATTCTCCCCCAAATCATTAATAACATTACTGAGCAGAATAGGGAAGAAGATAGTACCCTGTGGCATTTCACTACAGACAATTCCACAACTTGACATTACTCCATATACTTATATATGTGGTGTGGCCACTTACGTAGTCAATTATTTATCTAATGCCCTTTCCCTCATATGTATGTTTCACACTTTTGTTCCCAGTGATCTTGTGAGAGACTTCATGTATTAAAGTTTAGATAATCTTTAACTGACTGACTAGCCTAGCAAATCTCTCCCCCAAAAGGGTAATTTTAGCTGGACAATATTTTCTTAGCCAATCAATTTTGGTTCCAGAAGTTACCAGTCTTCTTTAGCAATCCATCTGGAATCAGGCCCGAGACCATCATTACAATCACCAGTTTGTGAAACATTCTTTTTGAAAGTTAGGAGTACTTTTCTATTTCCACTCTCAGGTACTTAGCTCATTTTTTTTTTAAATACCTCAAAAGATCATAGGCCATGTTTCACCATATTCATTTGTAAGCTCCTTGATCAAAATTTGCCTGGACAGGCAATCATGCAGATGTTATTGGCCGGTTGGTGCACAGTAGCAATCTTTTCACTACTCTAGGGCTTCTGTTCTCTTTGAACATGTCCTCTGTCAAAAAGAGTAATCTTTGTACTGAGGGAGAGCAGTGACAGGGAAAAAGCAAAATAACGGAATTAGAAAACACAGAAAAGTTACATGGGAATTAGGAAGTTCTAATTTCTCCTTATCATTACAAATTTTTCCTGAAGAATTGAGTAGGACTGTTCTTTCTGTGGCTTTCTTCTTAATGTAAACATCACATGTTATTTTAAATGGGGATAACAATCTGTCTATTCTCTCAGAGAATATATTCAAGAGAAATAGCAAGTAACCTCATTATTTTCTGTTTAGTAGATTTCAATGTAAAATTTCACTGCTTTATTCACTCTCTTAAATTTACTAAATATGGAGAATAAAGAAAAGTGAAGTATGTGGTAAGAGAGAAAAATAATTTTATGGCTAGCCACAACCTGCCAACATATCACTATATACCTTTGGGGCAATAATTAGCAGGTAGTAAAAGGTGTTTTTCCTCTCAGATAAATAGTCTCAAGGCACACTTTTTCTGCCTATTTTATGAAAATGAGACATAAGTGATCCAGATGGTATATTAAGAATGGATTAGAATAAGAACACTACAATTCTTCTACAAGTAATAAAATTAGTGTTGTTATTGTTTTATAACAATTACATATAAAGTTAAGTAAAACAAAAAGAGTAATATTTATCATTAATTCTTGTAAAATTTGGATTTTGATACCTACCCTTTTACTTATTATCCCTATAATAGTATGAAAAAAATTACCAAAACACTGATGTGCTGCACCAGCACGGCCAAGGGGGTGAACCTGGGGGGGCGGGCAGTGAAGGATCATAAAAGATAGACAAGAGAATAAAGCTGGGGCTAAGTGGGATTCTGCCCTCTAACCAAAGGGTCACAGCTTTGATTCCCACTCACTGGTATGTACCAGTGAACTGGGTTTCAGGTTCAATCCCGCCGGAGAGAGGCAACCAATCAATGTGTGTCTCACACATGGATATTCTCTCTCTCTCTCTCTCTCTCTCTCTCTCTCTCTCTCTCTCTCTCTCTCCCTCTCCCTCTCCTTCCCCCCCCCCCCCTTCCCTTCTCTCTGCCCCTTCCTCTCTCTTTAAATATCAATGGGAAAAATACCCTCAGGCAAGGATTAACAAAACAACAACAAAAGATGATTCACAAGAAATGTATTACAGGCACTAGAAAAAGTTCAGAAAATTAGGGACCTGGAGGCACAGCCATCTTCCCAACCTCAATCTGTAAAACAAACAACTGAGAAGGCCTTTGAGGAACAAAGACCAACGAAGTTCAGCCTTGCAGCAAGTATTAAAGCAAAGTTTATGTTAGTCATACTCACTGCTAAAGATTAATCGATTAAGGTGTCTCCAATCAAAGAACCAATAAAGCTGTGACTATCCTATATAATAAAACCCCAGTGACCGAAACAGCGGAACAACCAGAACAACTAGAGACCAGAACGACCCCGCCCCCCAGCGAGTGGTTAGGGGCGATGAGACAGGCAGGCAGAGGTGGTTAGGGGCAATCAAGCAGGCAGGCAAGTGGTTAGGGGCGATGAGGCAGGCAGAGAAGGTTAGGAGTGATCAGGCAGGAAGGTGAGTGGTTAGGGGCAATTAGGTAGGCAGGCAGAGTGGTTAGGGATGATCAGGCAGGCAGGCGAGCAGTTAGGGGCGATCAGGTAGGCAGGCAGAGGCAGTTAGGGGCGATCAGGCAGGCAGGCGAAGTGGTTTGGGGTGATAAGGCAGGCAGGCGAGAAGTTAGGAGCCTGTGATCCCAGATTGCGAGAGGGATGTCTGACTGCCGGTTTTGGCCGAATCCTGCAGGGACCCCTGTGGGATTGGGCCTAAACAGGCAGTCAGACACCCCCTGAAAGTCCGGGATTGTGAGAGGGTACAGGCCGGGCTGAGGGACCCCCAACCCCATGCACAAATTTCATACACTGGGCCTCTAGTATTATATATATATATATATATATATATATATATATATATATATATATATATATATATATTTTCATTTGGACCAAATGGTTTGAGAAAAAGAGGTTATTGGGATTTCTTTAAACCAGGTTTTGTAAATTAAGTTATTTTTAACCAGAAAGAGACAGACGCACAGATAGACAAGAATGAGGAGGAAAGCATTTAAACACATTAAATATAGGAAGGAGGTCTCTGAAACAACTGTGAGTTTGATTTGCCTTCGCTAAATGAAACCAATTGTAATCAAACAGATAAGAAGCTAAAATAACCATTGCCCTGAATTGTGACTATTTACTACTTAAAATGATCATGGCTCCCAATTTTCTATAGACAGAAAGCATATTGAAAAATGGTATAATTGCCAATACTAAATTAGATATAGCCAACAAAGATACTAAAAAATTTAAAACATACAAGAGCATAAAATACAATGGACTAGAGATCCTGCCCTAAACCCTAAAAAAAATCATGGTAAATCAGAGAGCAGTCCTATCCCCATTGCAGAGATTCTTATTTAATCTGTTCACTGAAATGTTAGAACTGCTACATGTTAATAGCTATACATCTCTGATTCTTAATATTTGCTACTGAGAGTAATTAAATGCCTTACCTTTGTCTCACTACTCTATACTAGATTTGTTGTAGGTTAACAACATATATTTTGGTTGCTAGTTCTTCAGTTCAAAAAGAACTACATATCTGGACCAGATAATATGGAAACTGCAGCACATCATTCCCCATCTACCACTCAGAAATCCTGGACTTTTTCAGCTTGAGGCATTGGCTGGATAGAACTTTCATATTTTCACCCTCAGGAAGAGGATAAGCATATTTGCCTGTGAGATGGAGACTGAATATTTGGTGACCAAAAGAGCAGACTGTGGTATATTAGTGCTGTTTATCATATACTTCCTGTTCTTTCCCTTCAAGGTTCATGGTAGGATTTCACTACCTGGCCCATTATGATTGTGAAATAAATTGGGAATAGAAGTGTCATTTCCAGTGCAGAACACTGAATTACTGGTAGTAAATCTGACTGGGCTTGTTTTCACTCTGCAACAATAACAGGTAATGTTTTACATAGGAAGGATAATATCAAGGCTATTTCCTAGGGTTAGGACAACATGAGACCAAGCTTCAAGATAATTCTCAGTGTATGTGTAGCATGAGTAAGGTATAGATCTTGTTATCTGAAGCCAGAGAGTTTGGGGCATAACCTAGCCAGTGGTGGGCAAACTGCGGCTCGTGAGCCACATGCGGCTCTTTGGCCCCTTGAGTGTGGCTCTTCCTAAGCCTTAGGAGTACTCTAAGTTAACAACAATGTACCTACCTATATAGTTTGAGTTTAAAACATTTGGCTCTCAAAAGAAATTTCAATCGTTGTACTGTTGATATTTGTCTCTGTTGATTAATGAGTTTGCCGACCACTGAGTCCTGGCTAATACATACCTTATGCTGTTTTCCAGTTCTATGACCTTAATTTTTCTCGGATTTTTCTGTTAAATTATTAAGTCATAGAAACTTCATTCCTGAGAAACCTAGCATTTCACCACCCAAAAGAGTACAACTATTAGATCAAATTATAAAATTCCCTGTGTATTTCCTTTTCTAAATCATTTATTAAAATGACATTGAATAATATTTAACAGGATTGACCTCTACTTTGGGGATGCAGTGGCATATTTATAAATCTCCATTTAAATTTACTACCTAATTCTGTTTTCCTAATTCTTAGTATATTTTCTTCCCATGATACAAAATAGGTCCTTTAAATAAAGTTTATTTTATTTTCACCTACCAAGTTTTGTTATTCAAAAGTATTGTTGAGAATTTCTTGCATTATTATTTATAGTATGACACATCCATTAATGTTTGATTGATTAATATAAATCAGCTAATAGAGTCTTTAATGCCTTCTAAGACATTAAATCAAGGAAGAAAAAAAGTGGAAAAATTCAAATAGAAACCAATGTCTTTATGCAACAAAAGGTAACTCAAGCATAAATAGTTTTAAAAATGCACATATTATTTATAAATCTTATACCACTAAAAATCATTACACATTCCCTAACACATTTAAATCAGCTATTTGCTTCTCTTATTTGATAAATAATATTATGACCCAGAAAGTAACATAAGAATTATCATTAATTTGAGAAAGTCGCATATATTTTAGTCCTTTAGCCCTATTTTTAGTCCATCATAAAAATCCCCTAACTTTAATACTGAGTTTACATAAACATATTCTTTTGCTCCAAAATACACCAAGGAAAGTAAATGGTTCAAAACTAAATAGTTATAAAGTTCTCCGGCGAGGAGAGGCAGAAGAAACGTATAAATAAGTAATGGATGTGCAATTTTATTACCTGAGTATTCAACAACTCCTCACACTTGTGTGCTTGTTTCTCAATTGCAGAAATGTACTGTTTTTCAATAGCTTCTACTTGTTGCTTAACTGAAGACTGTAGCAGTGCCTAAAAATAAACAAAAAAAGTAATTTGGATCAGAGACAAAACTTGGACTCTACTGTTGGCATGAGAATTTTTTTGACAGTTGCACATATCTGAAATATGATCCACTTCTGCATTAGAAAATTCACATTTGTGAGTATTGAAGCACAATCATATATAACACTACTTTAAGCTTTTGGATTTAAGTTTTCCTATTACCAAGACTACAGTTTTTTTGGCCAGATGTTCCTTCCACACACCTCTCCTTAAAAAGGCCAAGTCATAGAAGATGATAAAGAGAGTGAGTAGTTCTGTTAAATATAAATTCAGTTTAGTGAAGACCACACAGGATGAGGAGCGTATGAAAGCTGCTGAAAAAAAAGAAGAAGAAAAAAAAAGAAACCCCAGACATATTTCACTGGCTGACAAAACTCTACATCCTCTCGGCACACTGTACTATCCCATGGGCCAAGCATGATCTTCAAGACCACAAGTCAAGTAAAAGCAGATGGAAAGTCTGAGCAATTTCAAACATAAAAGAACAGCCCCCCAGGAAGTTCACATCCTTAATGTGAAAAGGTATAAGTCAATGTGTGGAAGTCAGTCGGAATGTCAGGGCAGTTTTCGTAAAAAGTAATAAAACCTGGGAGACTGGACAAACTTAAGTGGGTAGTGTAAATGCTGGAACCTCAATCAAAGACCTGCTGTTGTAAGAGAAGCAAAATCAGCATTTGAAGGCGTTCCACCCACTCACTTCCTTATTAGAGATGCTTAGAATATTATCATATTTTCCCTTCCTTTTTTTAAAGCATTATATGTTATATTAAACATGTTCCCAATATTATCTTACATGCTATTTATAAATCCCAAATCATTCTAAAATATGCATTCAACCATATATGTAAGAACTCTTAAGCAAATATTCTATTTTTGAAGGTCTATCTGGATAATAAACTACTCATAATCAAAATAGTAAGTTGAAACAGACACATGTCTTATAGAAAACAGACGTTTGGCACAGTTGCCAAAAAAAAAAAAAAAAAGCCAAATCTCTTAAATAATATCTGTTATGAAAATAAGATTTACGTGGTTGAAAACAATATGCATCAAGAAGCTAAATAAATATGCATGCATTTAAATAACATTAAGATAAAATACTTTTTGAACCTCTGGATAAGCCTCAAATTTTCAGATAATTAATTTTCACTTGCAAATGTTAGACTGTCTGATGATGCTACCACTCCTATAATTCAATAGTCACCACTCTGAAGCTGCAGAATTAGTAGTAAATTTAGTAAAGGAAATAGAGCTCTGAATGAGGTTTAATCAAAATACAAAGAACTGCTGCCCTAGCCAGTTTGGCACAGTTGGATAGAGCATCAGCCTGAGGAATGAAGGGTCCTGGGGGATCCATTCCGGTCAAGGGCACATACCTTGATTTCAAGCTAGATCTCTGGCCCTGGTCATAGAGCTTGTGGGAGACAACCAATCGATGTGTTTCTCTCACATCAATGTTTCTCTCTCTGTCTCTACCTCTCCCTGCCACTCTCCTACTCTCTCTAAAAATCAACTGAAAAAAATATATATCCTGAGTGAGGATTAACAACTATATATATACTAGAGGCCCGATGCATGAAATTCGTGAAAAAGTACACCTTCCTTCCCCCAGCTGCCGACACTGGCTTCCCTCTGGCACCCAGTTCCCGGGCTTCCCTCGAGCACCCAAGACCCAGGCTTCCCTCCCTCCACCCAATGGCAGGACCCTGGAACCCGGGCTTCACTCACAACCTCAGCTACATCCGGAAGGATGTCCAGAAGGATGTCTGGACTAATTAGCATATTACTTTATTATTATTATTATAGATATATCTATAATAATAAAAGGTTAATATGCTAATTAGACTGCACATCTTCCAGATGTCCATCCAGACAAAGCCACAGAGGCTGCAAGGGCCCAGGGGCGCAGGAGAGGCGGGGCAGCGTGGGAGAGGTATGGTGGCACAGGAGACACCTGGTGGCATGGGAGAGGTGCGGCGGTGCGGCCTCTTTTGCAGAGGCCACAGGAGAGGTGGTGCGGGAGAGGCAGCGGCGTGGGAGAGGTCTTGGTGCAGGCCGGTCCAGTGCTGTGGCCCCTTCCACAGAGGCAGTGGGAGAGGGGCCTGTGTGGTCCCAGTCCCAGTGCAGCCCCTTACGCAGAGGCAGCAACAGAGGCAGCAACAGAGGCAGTGGCGCGGGCCCACTCCTGGCACCATGCCTCTGCAGAGGCTGGACGGGGTGTGACCTGCTGTGCCTCAACCTCCCACAGCCACTTCCCCAGCTGGCCTGGCCCTAGATTGTCCCCCACCTACCAGTGGGCAGGGGTGGGGCCAGCGCTAAGAAGCAAGGGCTAAGGGCTGAGGGTCGGAAGCTGAGACGACCAGCATTGGCAGCAGCAGCGGGGTGATGGGGGCGGCGCCTTCACATGATTAGCCCAGTCGTCTTCTGCAGAGGGAGACCAGACTGCAGCTTAGCTGTCAGTAGGACATACCCTGAGGGCTCCTGACTGAGAGAGGGGGCAGGATGGGCTGAGAAACTCCCCCCGTGCATGAATTTTAGTGCACTGAGCCTCTAGCCCTACTTTATAAAGAGGGAATATGCTAATTGACCCTCACACTGTTGCAAAGATGGTGGCGCCCACAGACAATAAGGAGGGAATATGCTAATTAATTGCCCCACCCTCAAAAATGGCAGCGCCCAGAGCCAATAAGGAGGGAATATGCTAATTGACTGCCACATCCTCAAAGATGGTGGGGCGGGCCCGGCTTCTCCGTATGCCTGCCTCCAGAGACTCCCAGTCCTCTCAGCCCCGCAGCTGCCCAGGGCCTGCCCAAGGTGCAGGCAAGCCTAGATGGCAGCTGCCCAGCCTCCCAGGGTCGCCCGAGGCTCAGGTAACTAGGGCTGGCTGAGGCTTGTGCTGCCAGCAGTGACAGCAGCAGAGGTGTGATGGGGTGTCGCCTTCTCCTGATCGCTGGGTCACTTCCTGCCCCTGAGGGCTCCCAGACTGTGAGAGGGGGCAGGCCGGGCTGAGGGACCCCCCCTCCAGTGCATGAATTTTCATGCACCGTGCCTCTAATCCTATACTAATAAAAGATAAACATGCAAATTGACTGTACTTTTGCTATGCCTTAAGGCATGCCCACCAGCCAATCAGAGCAACTATATGCAAATTAACCCAACCAAGATGGTGGACGGCAGCCATGGAGCTGGAGCGAGCAGGAGGCTTGCTTGCTCCAGTGGTGGAGGAAGCCAAGGTTCCCGCCTGCCATGGCCCAGTTCTGAGCTCCACTGAAAGCAACAAAATTTCAATTATAGAAAGTAAACAAACCCCAGATACCTGCTTTCAGCCAGCCGTGGCCACAGAGCTGGAGCGAGCAGGAGTGGTTGCCCCTGGTGATGGAGGAAGCCAAGCTTTCCACAGGCCTCCGCTAAAGGCAACTAAGTTTCAATTATAGAAGGTAAATAAATCCCAGAATAAAAAAAAGAAAAAAGAAAAAAAGGAGAGGCTGGGAGCTTACATCACCAGGGTGTTGGCCAGCCTGAAAACGGCCCTCAGCCCCTCACCCAGACTGGCCAGGCACCCCAGTGGGGACCCCAAAAGGGGGTGTGGCCAGCCTGAAAACAGCCATCAGCCCCTCACCCAGGCTGGCCAAACCTCCATGGGTTGAGGGTCCCCACTGGGGTGGACATCCTCCAAGGGGTCTCACACTGCAAGAGGGCATAGACCGAGCTGAGGGACAGCCCCGAGTGCACAAATTTTTGTGCACTGGGCCTCTAGTATATATATGAAAGAACTGCTTTACCCTTTCAGTATATGTCCTTTAAAGATGCCATAATAATTAATTTATATAAGGCACCAAAATGTAACCTCTTAAACTGTGACTAAGTAATGCAAAGCTGCAATTTACATTTGGCAAAATATACTATATGTTGGACTTCAGAATATTTAAAGAACAGTATAGTTAGAGACAATTTCCTTGGGTACAGTCACTGCATCTTTTATATAGAGAAAAATGACAGTCTTTTTGTGGACTTGGGATATGACAATTGTTTTAGCTTAATGGTAAGAACTGTTTGCACTTCCCTATTTGATATGGTTCCAAATACTACCACATTTTAAATACCCAATTGTAATTTTTAGTAGATTATATCCTTTGGGGGTACAGGTAAGTTCATGAAATAAAATATTTTCTCATTGTATTTAAGAAACACAATTGAATATTATATTTTTTCCCTCTAGTGATTGATGTATACACCATATAATCATTTTCTTTCAAACTTAAAAGAGGCAAGCACTATAGGATAACAAGCCAACTAAGAGCCAAAACTGTGGTTATGGGCCATGGAGAAAAGCTATACATAAGTAACCAGCCTTTCCTATAGTTCAAACCTCCTGTTTTAGTCCCATTCAGTTATTTAAATCCAACCATCTACAAAAGAGACATAAAGGCAGGTCCTGGGAACATGAATATTACAAAAATATATGTTCTTACTGAATTATTTCTTTTGTTAAAGAGAAACAATCTCTAGAGAACCAAACACTATAGGTATATGCAAGGTGTGTATCAGAGAAAGAAAATATGCCCAAAGCCTGCTTATAAGGTTCACTGTTACACACTGAGAACATTAAACAGATAAGAGTAGCTTGACTAAGAGTGGAGGCAAATAGTAATGCAAGAAGGTACAAAGGGGCAGGTAGCAGATATCAAAAGAATTGTGTGCCATAACAAGGTCATTTAAAAATGTGTCCTATATTATTCAACAGTGGGATTATTAGTGCCATACTCTAAAAAGTATCCTCACAACTAGAATATTAACCATTTTGGACATACAGTACACATCTGGTACTAGCCACCTGCTTTTATGGCTTGAGATATCCTATATAATAAAAAGCTAATATACAAAAAGACCGAATGGCAGAACAACTGGAACAACCGAACAACTGGTCGCTATGATGTGCGCTGACCACCAGGGGGCGTGTGCGGAAC